TCTCAACTCCGATGTCTGGTGGCACAGATACTCTAAGAAAAAGGCTCCTATAGGGTTTCTTAATAAATACAGCAGCCAGTACCTAGGTCACAAGCAGGCCAAATGAGAATGTTGATGAAGTGACAAATATACACGGTGATAAAATCTGGACCATTGTTGCTGTTCTTAACTAGCTCATGACACCAACCAACCAACCACAAGAAACCCTCATTTGTTTCTCTTAGAAAATTACGGTGTCCCTAGTAGACCAGCTGTGGTTTCTCCAATTTACAAATAAGCCAGCCCACATAGACATCCAATTACCAAACATTAGATGAAAACAGAAAACATTTTGTACCCCCAATTTCTATGAAGGAGACTCACCCACCCAACCACCCCAGTTCCTGTCTCTCGGTAGATGGACGCCTCAGAGCAGCTGGGCCGTTTTTCCTCATAAGCTAGCCTCCGTATCATGATGGCATGGGAGCAAGGTGCTGCTGGACCAGGCTTTCTTGCTTGCTTCTCGCACCTTTCTGGAGCTCTCTAAGGGATGACTCACTAGTGCCTCTTTAGAGACAGAGCAATCATGAAAGTGAATAACCCTGAACAGCTGCTGCCCTACCTTTCTAGTCTAGGAAGTGCTAACACCATTCCCAAAGTCTGGCCAAGCCCTTCCGGGAGGGCACAGTTCATTCTTCAAATCCCTGACTCACAAAGTAACACCAAAATAAAGCTGCTTACCTGATCAAAGCAGAAACCCAGGAGCAAGTTCTAGCCCATTGCAGAACAAGCCACAAAACCCTTCCTCTTACTTTTCTTCCAAGCTGTGCTCTCTCCTCCCTTTATAGAATCCCCAGACCCCCTTCCCAGCTGGGTCAGACAATCCCCTCCCCTAGGCCAAACCACCTGTTCGAAAAAAGGCTCTGTCTCCAAACAGGGCTGGCTGGCCCTTAAAGGGACAGACCAGTGCACACTGTTACAACCCTTCATTGTACTGTCCTCAGTCTAAATCTATGTGATCCAGAGACTGGGGTGGGGGGGGGAGAGGGGAAGACTTGTAATGTAAATATGTGGGTGAAATCCTGGCCCACAGAGAAGTCAGTGACAAAACTCCCATTAACTTCACTAGGACCAGGGTTTCTCCCATTGAAATCAATGGGTTTTGCATCATTGATTTAACTGGGAGTCGAGTTAGGCCCGTGCTGAGAGCATGTGAAAATCCCACCCACAGTATACACAGGGTGCGTGACATACAGACAGAATCATGTAAATCAAAGAACCATTTTTCTGACTGTTGTTTAGCTTCAGGCTAGTGTACCTACAAGGCTTATGGGGCTTTATTTTGTTATTTTATTTACTCTTTTTTTTTGGTCTCCTAATTGGGATATAAAGTCAAACCTTAGATCTCTTTATGGGCTTTTTGCCAAAGCAAAGAACTGCCATAAGTGAGTAAACCTGGGGGAGCAATTGCTGATGGCCTGTTGCAGAAATGAAAAATGTTCCACGTGGGCTGGGGCTGGGGCTGGGGCATTCAGAGAAGTAAAAAGTGGGAAATAAACATTGGAATGAAACAAACAGTAGGAGCTGAATTCAAAGCTGTGCGCCTGGTGCCAATAGCTTGGGAAGATTAAAAAATATAATCTGGGCAGGCATCTTCAGTATCTTTGTTAAATTAGCAGCCACACCTCGTTTTCCCTATTAACCATTAAAATGGAAGGAAAAAGTAAATATACTGCAGGAGGTCAGGTGAGCTGATCACCATGGTCCCTTCTGGACTTACAATTCACAAAGCTTTATTCAATGCATCAGAATTAGACACAGTATCGGATGTTTATCATCATGACTGGGATGATTTTGGATATGACCAACGGGTAACAAATGGACCTTTGAAAATCAAACCCAGCTGCTCGGTGTAGTTATTTTGTATTTCAGGCTGTCAGAGGGTGGCCTGCCCCTTTAAGGGCCAGTCAGCCTACCTGTGCCATAATTAGCTGCATCTTAGTCAGAGGAGGCAGGGGACAGCTGGCGAAACACCTGGCTGCGTGAAAGGGCCGAGAAGAGTAAGTTACAGGGGGGAGTGCTAGGGTGTTGGTAGGGCCTGAGGGGATTATAGGAGATTATTCTAGAGCTACTGAGTGATTGAAATGAAGGCAAGAAGGGGTGAGGAATTGAGCCTGGAGGATTGGTTGAAAAGCCTCAACAGGATGGGAGAATCTCTTGTTTGTGTGAATTTTTGTTACCCTAGAAGGGACTCTAGACTAGATGTGACTTCACAGTTAAGTCAGAAAGAGCTACTGTAGGGCCAAAGATGCTCAACAAGGGGTGCTAGTGGCAAAGACCTGCCTGCAATGCCATGGCTTGAGGACAGAGTGGGGAGTGGAACTGCTTCTCCAGGAGCTCCAAAGCTTTTTGTCATAGCAACACTGACCATGTTTTAATAACAGTGTCTCCTGGGCCTACCTTCCCATCCCTTTGCAATTGCGTGCCTCCCCTTCCTTCTCAGCTGTGTTCATGGAACACTTCTGTAGCAACTGCACCAATTACTGACATGCAAAAGGGAAGTATTTAATGCATTCTCTATTGTCTTTAATGCAATTTGTCAGCTAATAACGGGGCCTGTAAGTTAACAACTCTCCTGTTTTTACTGCAAGACTTGTGACATTTGATGTTTCACTTAAAGCCCCAGGTCGTGCAGACAAGTGATTGTGTGAGACTCTCAGCTATTTTTTATTAGCCTTTTAATAGTTGCAGATTTCTAGTCCTCACTGTTGTGGAGAAAAGCTTGAAACTGTGACCCGAGTGTACCTGAAAGGCTCAAAGGAAAAGAACCCCAAATGTATCATTTAAAAAGCATCATTTTAGGCCAATCTTTTGACTGGGGGAGGGGGCAGGGCACTAGACTTGTGACTCCTGCGCATCCTTGTCATATTGGGTTGGTAAAACTGCCATCTAGCTTTCTACAGCCCACCATCAAGTGCTCTGTAGACCGTGAGTGTGTGCCATAGGCAATGTTTTGAGAACCACTGATGTATTTGACTTCAGTGATACCCTTTTATTTTAAATCCCTCACTGTTGCAGCCACCTCTGGTTCCAGTCACCACCAATTCCAGTGTGAGGTGGGAGATGATGCTTCATGACATAATGGAGGTGGGGGAAGGAAGGAGAAGAAATGTCAGAGGAGAACATGAGTCAGAGGGGCCAGAAAGCCCTGATGACATTCTTTGTTACAGGAATTTCCAGCGGGGGAAGAGAGTGTGATATAAGTGGTTGGTCTGGTGCCAAAAGGACCTGGCCAAATTGGCCACTGAGTCAAGGCTTTCTGGACTCCAGCAGAGCTCTTGTGAAATGCTGCAAGAAGTTAAAGCATGAACCCTCCCTTTTTGAAAATCCATGGAGGGCAGTGACAAACATCCTGTTGTGTGCGAAGCTGAATCTCCCTGCAGTGCAAGGAGCTCTGCTAGCAAAACGAGGCACGGGTTACACACGGCTCCTTGCACTGGGTTTGCTTCAACGTTTTTAATTCATTTTTATTACAAGTGTGCCCAGAGACTCCAGCTGAGAGGAGGCCCGCATTAGGTGCTGTACATACATGGTCCCTACCTAGAAGAGCTTCAGTCTAAGCCAGAGAGGATGTGAGAAATAATGTTTATTATCCCCATTTGACAGGGGAGAACTGAGGCACAGAACGTTTATGTTCCTTAATCTCTGCGGTCACAGAGGAAGTCTGTGGAAAAGCCAGGGAAGGAACCCAGATCTCCTGAGTCCTAAGCCTTAACTTCAACACCATCCTCCCTCTTCACCTGTAGGCATGTGATGACTCCCATGTTATTACCCTTTGGCTAAGAATTTGGGGGCTGATCCTGCAAATCCTTACTCAGCTGAGTCACCTATACTCGAAGACAGTGCCATTGCTGGCACGAGGAGGGAGCAGCCACTTGTGTAAAGTTAATGTGAACACCTAGGGTGAAACCCTGCTTCCACTGGAGTCAGGGACTTCCCTTCCCTAGGATCAGGCTTTTCGCCCATACCGCACACTTACTTCATGTAGGCCAGTTAGCCAACCATCTCCAGGCCTTTTGTGAAGGTGATGACTCCTGGCTTACCTTGGCATGACACAAAATAAACTGAATACCAAATACAGCGAGGCGAACAAGCAATCACTAAAAGGTACTTTAAATACCAAATAGATCCAGGCGAGCACAAAGCCTACCCACGACTCCCCACTTAGAGATCCAGGCATGGGGAGGGGGGGTCTAAACAATCCCAGGGAAGGGAAAGGTGCAGGGTGAGGTGAGGGTACCAGGCACTGCCTCCTTTCTGCGGTGTGTGCGCGTAAGGGAGCTGCTTGGGAGGATGGGCATCGGGCATCCTTCCAGCTCCAATGCACAGAGGCACAGAGCGGAGACACGCGCTGGGTGGTGTCTTAGCTGGCCCCTCATTCTCCTCCCTGTGTCTCCCTGGCGCTCCGGGGGAGGGCCGAGCCCCAGTTCGCGGCTAGGTGGCTGGCGGCTCCCAGCAGCCGGGCAGGGAAGCGCTGTGGCTCGTCTCATCCCCGCTCGCACGTAGAGCGGAGCGGGCCGGGCGAGGACGGGGGCGGATTCACACACACACACGCAGCAGCCGCAGCCGGTGCCGTTTCAGGCGCTCTGTCCATCTAGGGCGCACATCTCCATCTCCCTCCTCCTCCAGGGCTGCTCTGGCGGTGCCTCCCCCTCTCCAAGCCTCCGTCTACGGCTGGGGCTGCCCCCCTCCTCCCCAGCGCGCGTTGCTGGGCTCGGGAGCGCAGCCCGGCTCGGGCAGAGCGCTGCTGCCCCAGCTCCGGAGCGGGGAGCGCGGAGAGCCCCGGCCCGCCAGCGCGCCCCCATGCGCTAAGGGAGCGGAGCGCACAGCAGCCGCAGCGGGGAGGCAGGCGACGGCACCGGCCGCGGAGGAGGATGCGGGGCTCGGGCGCCCGGGCAGGGGCAGCGGGGCTCGGCTGCAGCGGCGGCGGCTCCCCGGCTCCCCTCTGGACGTGTCTCCTGCTGTGCGGGGCGCTGCGGAGCCTGCTGGCCAGCCCCAGCAACGAAGGTGAGAGGCGCGGGGGGGAACCCTGCCCCGGGGCTGCGGGAGCCGGGAATGACTCGGGCTCTCTCGCGCTGGGTTGGGGGGAAGGGAGCATCCCCCCCCCCGGGTGCCCGTGTGCCTGGGGGAGCACCTGGTCCGCTCCCGGGGGGCGGGCGGCTGCGCCCCCTTCGCGCTCTCC